TGTGACTTGGTACCTTGAACAAGTACCATTTGTTGATCAATATAATTTATTATTTATTAGGAAATTTTGTGAAAAACTACCTATTATAATCCAGAATTTGCGAGAAACTACCTATTAAAAAAAATGTTGTAATTGACTACCTAATTTTTTAAAAATGTTATAATTTACTACCTTTACGCCGGATTATGAAGGAGTTTGACCAAAATTCTCCGGCGTTGACTTGGTCACGTGACACTTGGTGAAAGAAAAGGGTCATTAAGTGTCACGTGATGGTCACGTGACCAAGTCAACACCGAAGAACTTTGGTCAAAGTCCTTCATAATCCGGCGTAAGGTAATAAATTACAACATTTTTCGAAAATTAGGTAGTCAATTACAATATTTTTTTAACAGGTAGTTTCTCGCAAATTCTGGACTATAATAGGTAGTTTTTCACAAAATTTCCTATTTATTATAATTTTTCTATCTACAATATAGTGAAAGTGTTTATATTGTCAATACATTTTAATATCTGTTTTTCATTATCATATTAAGAATTGACATGTGTATATGTGGAAATAAACACACAATAATATTCAAAGGGTTTATTGTCCATACCTTTAATGGTAGATTAATTGGTTGGTGTAAAATCCCTTTCTAATTAGCTCCAAATAATAGTCGTTTGATTCAAGTTGTCTCATATGATGAGCTTATGTTGTATGTCAACTTCTAGCAACAATGGCGATTGCGTATTAAAACGTATATATTTTCATTTTCATACACATAATAATAATTATAAAAACATCATATTAATAAAACTATACATTAAGGCAAATCTAACAAGATCCCACGTAAAAATATTGGCCATGTTTGGTAATTAGCTTTTGGTTGGGTTTTAATTGACTTTTAGCTTTTTATTTTGATCAAACAGTCAAAAAACGTGTTAAGTATATGGCTCTTTAGCTAGTTGAAAAGACGGTTTTTTTCTAGCTTTTTGGTTTTGGCTTTTCATTATTGTGATTACCTTTTAGATTAACCATAATTATTTATGGTCAAAATTTTAAAATTTGTTCCAAAATCTGAAAATGCGGTAAAATAAAAATAAAGGGACCAAGGAAATATTAATTATAGGCGTCATGGCCAACTTTAGGGGTGATCCACCAGGAATGGGCCTACAGCCTACATAACAATGATACGATTGCCTTTTCGAATTAATTAATTCTAGACAATTTCACTATTGCAATGAGAAAAAAGAGTTCATTTAATCCAGTTTTCTACAAGGTAAAGAAATGAAAAAATAATCTCATTAAAGCTAGAATAAAGATTGAAAAAAAAAAGGTGATATGAGTAATTAAATTTAATATAAGTAATTTTTATTACTCCTACGTTTCATAATGATTGACATACTTTATTATTCAAATAATATATTACAAGAGGGGGGTGAATTGTAGTATGTTTTTTAGTGCCTAATTTTCAAATAATATAAAATAGACTTCTATAAGGAACTTAGACAATGCAAAACTGATTTTACGATAAAATCTTCCAGGGTCCAACTGAAAGTAAAACCTCTATCTACGGATTCCCAAACCAAACACTTCACTAATTGAAGTAAAAATGGAGGAAAGAGAGAGGTACTTGGGGAGGGACTGAGGGAGTTAATTAGAGGAGAAACCGTAGGAATGGGGTCCCACAAATGAAATACTTGGACGGAATTCGTTAATGGATAGTGCTAGACAAACGTTTGTCATCTTATAGATAATTGTTCACTAATATATATATATATATATATATATATATATATATTATATATTATATATATTATATATATATATATATATATATATATATATATATATATATATATATATATATATATATATATAAAGGGGTAATTGTTCACAAAACAACCTATCCACAAAAACCTATCTTTGGGATAATTCTTCACAAAATTTCCTTAGATTGATATACTCAGGGCTTGTTCTAATTTACTGAACTGAGTTGAGCTGAGCTAAGCTGAACTGAATTGTTTATGAGAGAAGGAAATTAGGAATTGAATTGAAATAAAGCGAAAGAGAACAAGTCCTCACTTAGTTACTTATAGGTAAAACAAAGATAATGATCAACCAAGCTACACCGTTTAAGAAATTCTTATTAAGTAGAAGAAATATAAATCAGATAAAATATTTAATGCAAGCTTAAGTATAACCATTGACGAATATTGTGGCTTAAAAGTACTGTAACTTAGAAATTTGATGTAGCGAGCCAATGAAACAATGATTCCTTGCTGTGTATCTTTGGAGCTAGTAAGGGGTCGTTTGGTTGGGGTTAATCATCAAAGGGAAGGGGAATCAATTGTCCCCATTCCCTTTGTTGTTGTTTGTTAGCCCATTTTTCCCATTCCCTTTACCCCCTCGATTCCCCCAAATCCCTCTAACTTCATTCCCCACCCCCTAGGTATTTCCATTCCATTCCCTACCCACCTTCACATCACCACATCATCACCTTCACACCACCACATCATCACCTTCACACCACCACATCACCACCGGAAAACCAGCCCAGACCACTGCCCCCCTACCCTTACCACCGCCGCCCCTCCTCCGACCATTGCCGACCCTCCCCTGAGCCTCGCCGCCCTCCCCTCCCCCGAAAAAACCACCCATAGCCCCGAAAAACCCTAACCCCGATCTCCCTTGACCCTGAAATCCGGTGCTCAGCCCTCCCACCACCCTCGAAACCCTAGCAGCGCGGCGAAGGGGGGGGGGAGTTGTGGAGAAGATGCGGCGAGTGGGTGGAGTGGTTGGGTGGTGGCTATAAATGGTTGAAAGTGAAGGCGAGTGGTGGTGGTGTGGTGGTTGGACTGGTGGCCTTCCATTCATTCCATTCCTTTGTTATTCAAAACAAAACAACACCCTAAAATTGGGGAATTTTCATTCCATTCCTTGTTTTCCCTTTGTTCATTCCATTCCGATTCCCTCGTGCGAACCAAACGGCCCCTAAATATGTTAGTACTCCATTATTTATTTTCTTAAGGGTAATGCTATATGTAGCCATAAGTGTTAAGGATAAGCATTTAATATCTTTTTTTAATTTGATACTCCGTAGTAATTTAGGAAAATCATGCGTAAATCAATGTAATTAATATTATAATATTATTTATTTATTTATTTATTTATTTATTTATTCATTTTTAGCTCATTATATGTAACCTAATAGGGTAAAAGCTATGTTTATCATTTAACATTCATTATAATTATCCAATCTACAATAATGAAAGTGTTTATATTGTCAATACAATTAAATGCTTTTGCTAATTATCATATTAAGAATTGACATTTGTATGTGGAAATAAACACTAAATAATATTCAAAGGTTTTTATTGTTCATATTTTCATTGGTAGATTACTTGGTTGGTGTATAATCCCTTTCTAATTAGATCCAAATACTAATCGTTTAATTCATGTTAGTTTGTCTCATATGATGATATTACGTTGTATTGTCTACTTCTAGCGAGTAGCAACTATGGTGATTGCAATTGGTGCTCTCGTTTTTTCTCCCTGTCTCGGTCTCTCCTTTTCTTTGTGTGCGCAATGCGTAAAATGGTAGGTAGGCCGTTAATTTATTAAGGATATAGATTAACAAAGTAATACTTCATTTTCATTTTCATTTGCATCAAGCTTTATCAAGGAGTATGTTTCATATTAAGACCCCAATAATATAAAAATAAAATAATGAGGGAAAATAAGTAAATATCAAACAAAAGAAAGCAAGAAAAGTAGTATAAGTTCTAGTAATAAGGTTAGTGAGAGATACCAAAGTTTTGACTTAGGCCCTATTCACTTCACCTTATTTTTGTTGAGCTGAATTATTTTTACTATATGATATTATTTTTTGCTGAATTTAAATTATTTTTATCGAATTGGATCAATTTTGCTATATTAAGGGTTTGTTCACATTTACTAAACTAAGCTGAATTGAATTGATTGGAGCTAAACTAAACTGAACTGAATAGAGCTGAAATGAATATTTTACGAGAGAAGAAAATTAGGAGCTGAACTGAACTGAACTGAAAAGTGAACAAACCCTAAATTATTTTTGCTAAACTGAAATTATTTTCACTTGTTTTCTTATATATGTATTTTTTAAAGTTACTGACTTTTATTGACTGAAATTATTTTTTATCAAACCAAAATTAATTTTATTGAACGAATTTTTAATGAACTGAAATTAATTTTATAGAAGATAAATTATTTTTACAAAATAATATTTTTTAAAAATAAAGTAAACATGACCATACAAATGTACAATTACTACGTAAAATAAGTTCAAGATGTTAGAATATGTCTTGAATCAGTTAGCTACTAAGTTCAAACAACTATCATAGGTTCTTGTTGCATATTCACTGCATCGGGATCCAAGAGCAACGTGCCCTGGTTTTGACTTGCATTTCTTTTTTGTTATGACCTGTACAATTTTTTTTTGGCCTATATTATGCTTTGTGTTTTAGGATTATTTGTATATTTTTCTAAGGGTCCAAATTATCACCCCCTTTCCTCCATTTATTTTTCGTTGGTTAAATTAGGCCTGTCCAAAATACCAATTGACCTGATCCACTTAAGCTTAATAAAAGGTGACCCTCTTTTAACCTGCCCATTATCAACTCGATCCATCCAATAACAAGCCGTTCACGAACATTAATACATGTAGAACAATAATTACATTTTTCATTTTTTTTTTGAATGAGAAGTGATAATATCATTAAATATTAATTATATTTCTCTAGCTAACTTACATAACGAGCTCTAGACTTCATATTTTCAAATATGAATCTTGCATTTCTTTTCTTTATCAATCAACCTAGGATCGTATCCATTTTGTCATAAAATTATGGTAGATAATAGATATATATAAATAATATTTATTACATAATATCTTCATGTTTTTTTATTAATATTACAAATGTTCTTTACGTATATAAAAAAACATAAAATTGGATGTTCTTTACAAAAGTGTTATATGTTCTTTAAAAAGCAGCAGTATGTTCTTTATAAAACAGTTTCTTGTTCTTTCCGCGCTTTTTGTCTGTAGCAAGCAAGGTACAGGCTTATGTACCTTAAAATTTTCAACTTATTCTCACTCTCTTTACACCAAAAAGAAAATAAAAATAAAGCATTTTCGCTCCGTAATCGATTAACAAATCACAACATTAGTGTGCTACGTTACACCTATACTCCCACCACATTCTGTTACAAATTCTCATGGTCATAAGACTAATAACAATAACGACCTATAAATAAAATCCATCCCCCAAAATCAGCTATACCATACCATTTCATTCAATTGTAATATCAATTCACCTTTCTTTAATCAAACATTATAATCTTCTTCATTGCATCTCAAATTCAGAATTAAAATAAAAAATAAAAAAATAAAAAAAATGGAGAAAATGGAAATTGATCTTACACCCCAATTAGCAGCAAAAGTTCATGGTGGAACAGGAGGTACATACTATGCATGGTGTGACTCAGAACTTCCTATGTTACGCGAGGGTAACATTGGCGCTTCAAAACTTGTTCTTCAGAAATTTGGGTTTTCTCTTCCTGCTTATTCTGATTCTTCCAGAGTTGCCTATGTTCTTCAGGGTACCCTTCATTTTCTTTGATTTTTTATTTTATTTATTGATTTTATTGTTGGTTTTTGTGTGAATATTGCAAGATTATGAATACCCAGATGTTAATTTTGATGATCATGTGATATATCTATGATTTCATTGATTGTTGATGGTTGCTTGATAATATCTTGGTTTTATCATGATTTTGTTGTAGGTTATAGTTGTCATTTGATTTGGTTAAGTAGTTTTGGAATTGGGTATTTTGATTCTGTTCATAATTTTCTTGGTTTTGTTGGATTGAATATGAGTAAATTTGTTTGGATTATGTTTGAATTTTACGTTTATTTTGGTAGTGCAATCTTGGAATTCCATTATTAATGTTGATTCTATTATAACAATATACCCCACAAAATTTGGTTTTGATTTTGTTTTCAATGAATTTACCTAAGAATATGAGAAGCTTTGCGTTGAGTTGCTGTAGGATGAATTTGATCAAATTTACTTAAAATTGCTCAATTGTATGACATTTGACAAGCATTGGATGAATATGATATGGGGGGTGTACAACATTTATCAAGTGTTATCATTATTATAGATTGATTTGTATTCCATTGATCAACGATGTAGGGGATTTGATTTCGATGTTGGTTGCATCTATCTAGGTTTGACGGTATAATGTTAGTGCATGGAGTGAAATGATTTGTGTTGAGAACTCAAAATTGTTCTGTGATTTTTTTTATCAGGCACCGGAGTATGTGGGATTGTCCTTCCAGAAAAGGAAGAGAAAGTGATTCCGATCAAGAAAGGAGATGCAATAGCCCTACCCTTTGGCGTAGTATCCTGGTTGTACAACAAAGAAGATACAGAACTAGTGATCTTGTTTCTTGGTGACACCTCGAAAGCCCACAAAGCAGGCCGATTCACAGACTTTTTCTTGACAGGCTCGAATGGCATATTCACTGGATTTAGTACGGAGTTTGTAGGCCGAGCATGGGACTTGGATGAAAAAACAGTGAACTCCCTTGTAGGAAATCAACCCGGGAGTGGGATCGTGGAGCTTGATGGATCAGCCAAAATGCCTGAACCTAAGAATGAGAATAGGAGGGGCATGGTGTTGAACTGTGAGGAAGCTCCTTTTGATGTGGATATTAAGAATGGTGGGAGAGTAGTGGTTTTGAACACCAAGAATTTGCCCTTGGTTGGAGAGGTTGGACTTGGGGCTGATCTCGTGAGGTTGGATGGTAGTGCAATGTGCTCCCCTGGCTTTTCCTGTGACTCTGCCCTTCAGGTCACCTACATTGTTCGGGGAAGTGGCCGAGTTCAAGTTTTGGGGATTGATGGAAGAAGGGTGCTGGAAACTACTGTGAAGGCAGGGCAGTTGTTTATAGTTCCAAGGTTCTTTGTCGTCTCCAAGATTGCTGATCCTTCGGGGATGGAGTGGTTCTCTATCATTACTACACCCAAGTAAGCCTTTCACTTTATGTTTCTTGCCCTTGAAATCTTTCAGATCGTGCTCTGATCAGCATCTTCTGGTGTGCTCTTAATTTCCTGACACGTTATGTTATGCTTGTTATCTGAACAATCCATAATTTAGGTCCCTAACAAGATGTTGCTTATCGTCTTGACCGAGCACCATAACCATGAACAAAAATGACTTGACTTACTAGCCACTGAGCACATCTACAATACATTTCAGTGCTACTGATGAAACTCATACTAGTTCTTAGTATATACTGGTTGCCTAATTTGTTTAGCTGAACTTCCATAAACAAACTCACGTCTTCCTTTTTAGTGATGCTGGCATAAAATTTGAAGACAAACTATTCAATTCTTTTGTTTAAAGGCTTTTTTCAACTGGATTATCTTAAATGATTTGTATTGTGGTGTTTTCAGCCCAATATTCACGCACTTAGCTGGAAAGACCTCAGCATGGAAAGCACTATCCCCTGAAGTACTGCAGGCAGCCTTCAACGTGAGCCCAGAGATAGAGAATCAGTTCAGATCAAAGAGGACTTCGGATGCAATCTTTTTCCCCCCACCTAACTGAGCAGATCAAATCACCGATTTCTTTATTGCTTCAAGTTGTCCGATTTAGTAGTATGACCTTTGATCTGTCTCGTCTAGCACCATCTTACTGAACCAACTAATGTTTCAATTCTGTCTTAGCCTTTGTTTGTGCTATTAGTGTAATGACTTCTTCTACGAAGAAAATTTTGAAATTTGTAATAGAGGATGGCTTTTGCTGCCATCAGAAGAGGCTAGTATGTAATAGTACTAAACGCTAACTTTCAAACTGACGCATGATGCTATGAATGAATCATGAGATAATAAATTTTGTTATAATAAATTTGATTATGGAGTATCTCCTAATTAAAGGTGTTCCATTTTCTTCCTAACTATATGAATGGTCAGGTGAATTTAACATCTTTGGTAAGCTTGGATGAATGGTTGAATTTAGCTTGATACTTGCTTGTCCGGGCTGTATACATATGCGTGTCCGGGGTGTGTCCAGTAAAGAACCACTGCATTTGTTATGGGAATGTCATGATAATAACCATTGTATATTTTGGAATGTTCAACTATCGTTTTTTTAGATACTCAGAGAGCAAGCTTAAAGACTTAAAAGTTCCTATAAAACTGTCATTGAAACTAGTAAGGGTGTGCGCGTCACAACTATTGCAAAGGTTGGGAGATGAAGTTAGCACTGGGGCTGAAGGTAGGTGATGGTGATATGCTACATGTAATATTTTTTTTTTTTTTAATTTTTAAATAATAATAATAATTAATAGTGTGCTTAGTAAATGAGGGCCGCTTTCAAAAAAAAAATACACGAGGGCCAGTAGAGGTATTAGAGAGTTAGAGGTCCTTCACCACGAAATTGGAACCATAATTATCAGGTTATGGAACCAAATCCATTATTCCATTACAGAGTAGTATGGTACATTTTCTTTCCCAAGCTAAATCCCCTAGTAAGTGAAAGGTTAGGAGAAATGGCCGGTTCGGCTACTTCTCAACAGCTTCTAGCTTCTTGTACAAAAATGTAATAATAGTTTGTAAAACACTCAAATTTTATTTTATTTATTTATTTATTTATTTTTGACAAAGGTTTAAACAAATTACATATATATATATATATATCGAAAAGCAAATTGATAGTTGCGCTGCTTCAGCCGCTATTTGGTGAGCTCGATGAACCCGCCTTATGAACGTCGCAGTGTCTGAAAGAAGCCCCGAGCAGCTTGATTTTGCGAATGATCCAAAGTAGATTAATGTCACCTCGTTCCATACCTCTAAGGAGAGTAACTAGATTATAAGAATTGGTAAAAATGGTGACTGACTTAATATCGGCGCTTAAGGCTCAACGAAGGTGTCACGAAATGATTTTCCGTAGTTTCATTAGAGTGTAGAGTAGAGTATTTATACAAGTGATTAGGGCGCAAGAAATAGGCCCGTTAACTATACAATATAAACACTAATTATAAGCCTTAACACCCCCCCTCAAGTTGGAGCATGCAAATCACAAATGCCCAACTTGCCAAGTAAATACATGAATTGACTTTTACTCAAAGCCTTGGTGAAAATATCCGCTAATTGGTCCGTTGTCTTCACATAAGACGGACTAATGATACCATCCTGAATCGCATCACGAAGATAATAACAATCAACCTCAATGTGCTTGGTACGCTCATGGAAAACCGGATTTTTCGCAATATACAAAGCAGATTGATTATCACAAAACAAACTCATAGCACGGGGATGCGAGACACCCAAACTCAGAAGAAGGGCCTTTAACCATTTCAACTCATCAGTGGTTTTAGACATTGAGCGGAATTCGGCCTCTGAAGAAGACTTGGCCACAGTGTCCTGTTTCTTAGTCTTCCAAGATATAGGAGAAGCATCAAGAAACACCAACCAGCCAGAGATAGAACAGCGCGACAAGGGACAACCTGCCCAATCTGAATCACACCAACCTGTAATATGTAAATCACAATTTGAACTCAAAAGGATTCCCTGACCCGGACACCCCTTCAAGTACCGCACTGTACGAAGAGCCGCTTCCCAGTGGTCCTATCGCGGTTGTTGCATAAATTGAGACAAAATATGCACCGCGTATGCCAAATTCGGCCTAGTAAAAGACAAATAAATCAGACGACCCACAAGCCGTCGATACTGCTCTGGATCAGAAAAGAAAGAGGACTCTGATTTCACCAGAGTATGATTCTGCTCAATAGGAGTACCTGCCGGACGAGCACCTAGCAAACCAGACTCTGCAATAATTTCAAGAGTATATTTCCGTTGACATAAAAATATGCCTCCGGACTACGAGCAACCTCAACACCAAGAAAATACTTCAAAACACCCAGATCTTTCATATGAAAACAATCACTCAAGTATGACTTGAATGTTGAAATCGCAGAAGAATCATTACCATAAATTATGAAATCATCAACATACACCAGAACACTAAGTTGTATAGACCCAGATTGCAGAGTAAAAAGAGAATAGTCAGAGTACGATTGCACAAATCCGTACCTTTTCAGAGAAGCGACCAATTTAGAATACCAACAGCGAGGTGCTTGTCGAAGACCATATAACGACTTCAGAAGACAACACACCATACTAGGTTGAGAGCCATGAAACCCAGGGGGAAGCTTCATATAAACCTCCTCATCAAGATCACCATGAAGAAATGCACTGTGAACATCCATCTGATGCAATTCTCAATTCTTTGCAGCAGCGACAGCAAGAAAAGCACGAACAGTGACCATTTTAGCAACAGGAGCAAAAGTCTCATTGTAATCAATACCCTCAACCTGATGATTACCAAAGATAACAAGACGAGCCTTCAATCTCTCGAGTGTGCCATCTGAATTAAGTTTGACCTTATAAACCCATCGACACTCAAGAGCTTTCTTACCCGGAGGCAATGTTTCCATTACCCATGTGCCATTTTTTTCTAATGCATCAATTTCCGTTTGCATAGTCGTTTTCCACCCCTCATCTTGCATTGCCTCCTTGAAATTACGAGGCTCAACTACCGTATCAACAGCTGCAATAAAAACACGGTGTTGCACAGAAAATTTATCACAATCCACAAATTGTGCTAAGGGGTAAGGAGTACCTGAGGAGCATGGAGTAGGCGATGAACACTGCGAGATAGATGAACTAGGTAGAGATATAGTGTGTGCAACATATTCCCGGTGCCACCCCGGGGGTTGCCTTGGACGTTGAGCACGGTCCAACGCAATAGGAGAAGTAGAAGAGGGGTCCGGAACAACCACATCAAGACTGCCCGTACCAGTGGCCGAGGAGGCAGCAGTGGGGGCAGGGGACACCACGGGACTGCCGTGGTCATGGACAACAACCTCATGTGACCCGTGGGGGGTAGAAGCAGTAGCACGGGGTTGTGAAGAGTTTTCAGGCACAAGAGAACCTTCACCAACCTTTAATACATATTCCAAATCATCAAGAAAATCGTGATCAACACCAACATAGTCATTAGGCACACTCTTGGCACCCACAGTAGAAGAAACTAAATCACCATCTTTCACAAACGGGAATTCATACTCATGGAATTTAACATCACGGGAAACAAAAATATCACCGGTTTCCAAATCATACAACTTCCAACCTTTCTTGCCATGAGGATAACCCAGAAACACACACTTCCTACTCCTAGGTGCAAATTTGTCACCCTTAGCTTTTTGGTTATGAGCAAAAAAAAGACAACCAAATACCCTCAAAGCATCAAAATCGGGTTCTTTGTCAAAGAGAATTTCATATGGGGTTTTATTGGCTAGCAAAGTAGAAGGAGTACGATTAATCAAATAAACCGCCCCAAGGACACACTCACCCCAAAAAGTAATTGGCAAATTATCTTGAAACATCAAAGCACGACTCACATTCAATATATGTTGGTGTTTACGCTCTACCCGACCATTTTGTTGAGGTGTGCCAACACAAGAGGTTTGGAAAAGAATGCCATTTTCAGTAAATATGGGATCATGGGTTTAAATTCTGTGCCATTGTCACTCCGCACACACTTAACATTGACATCAAATTGACACTTAACCATAGAAAAGAAAGAGCAAAAAGAAGAATAAACTTCGATTTTGTCATTCAATAAATAAACCCAAACACCACGTGAAAAATCATCAACAATCGTCAAGAAATAATGAGCACCACAAGTAGAAGCCGTGTTATATGGTCCCCACAAATCACAATGTATCATTTCAAGAATACGACTAGCACGACTATCACTATCAGGAAAACGAGCTCGGGTTTGTTTTGCTAGAGGACAAATTTTACATGCTTTATGTAAACACTTAGGAACAGAACTACCTCAAATAGCAGGAAGCAATTTGACAATTTTCTCCGACGGATGCCCCAAACGACGATGCCACAACTCAAATGTAGATACGTCCGGACCTGTGAGAGCACATACTTTTGGGAGACGCCGGAAATAATATAGTCCATCTATCCGTTCACCGCCTCCAATTAAGCTCCCCGAGGATTGATCCTGTATAGCACAAAGAGAATTAGTGAATCGGACATAGCAATTAGAATCATCAATCAACTTAGACACCAAAACCAAATTGCAAGTTAAGTTAGGAACAAAGAGAACATGCTCAAGAGTAATTCCATCCGCCAAGAAAACACGACCCTCTTTTGTTGCAAAGGCTTGAGCACCATCGGGAAGACCAACGGGGCAAGGTAAAACTGATTGAGTACCAAATAATGAAGACTCGTCACCCGTTACATGATGTGAGGCACCCGTGTCAATTATCCAAGGTAGAGAAAAAGAATCACCGTTGGTATGATCGGTAGGAACATCAAATACCCCACCCACAATTGGGGTAGTGGTAGCAGATTGATTAGAGGAAGAAGTAGGGACAGCAGACTTGTCAAATACCCCACTTAGAATAGGAGTAGTGGTGGCAGATTGATGAGAAGAAGGAATAGCAGCATGAGTCGAAGTGGCAGCAGCGACCGCAGGGAAGAGTCGCAGGATACCCCCGCGGCCTGGCAAAAACCGCTGGGTTGAGGCAGCGGCCGCGGGACAGGACCGCAGGCTATCCCCGCGTCCTGGTGAAGACTTTGACATTAGAAGTGGTAGAGGTGCAGCGGTAGATGGAACAGCAGCAGCAGTAAAGTATGGTTCAGGACCCGCCGGAACAGTAACACCCGCCGGAACATTAGCAGCAGCCGGAGAGGAACGCCTCTTGTGTCCATACTTATCTAGCCACCAATCAGGGAGGCCGTGAACCAGAAAACAACCGTCAAAATCATGTCCCGATCGATGGCAGTGGGTACAATATAGTAGTGACTTAGGAGGACGCTTTAATTCAGCAGATAAGAAAGAAGAAGATAATCCACTATTCACCATTGTTGATAG